TCTATTTTTTATTAGAATTTTAGCATGATACTGCACTCACTAAATTTCTTGAAATGTAGCCATAAATTTGTAGTAAAGAGTTTCTATTGTATATAAAATTTGTGCTAGAATTTTATGTACCAAAATGACCACTTTTATAAATATAGAGACAAATTTTTTTGAAAGTATAAGCACTAAGATGAACAAATTAAAAGTACAGAACCAAATGGACGTTTTGAAAATATAAGGACCAAAATGAACTAAAAAAAAATAAAGTGAAGAAATTATATTTATTTATTATATGAATATTGATTATATCAAAGTGGATTATGTCTTTTTTTTTTTCTTTTAAATATTGGCTTAAATTTTATTAATAAAGATTGAAATTCAAATTTTATTGTAATTTGAGAGACTAAATAAAATATATTAAAATGTAGGTATCAAATGGAAAAGGAAAAATACCATTTTATTTATTCATGCAGTTGACACGATTTGTCCATTTTAATCTTCAATTTGAGTTTCATTAAATTAAACCCTCAATTAGTCCATTTTACATTTTTTTTTTATAGGATTTTAGGCTAGTTGTGAACAATTTTATGATTGGACAAGGTTAATTTCGTGAAAACTAACTTTTTTTTTCCTTGGTATCGTGTATTTTATTTATTTTTTAAATCAAAAGCCAACTTCATTAATGTGATAACATAATCATTAATCTAATAAAAGATGTATTATGCACGTGATTGAAAGTTTAGAGCATCTTAAAACTCTTTCTAAAATATAGAAGCTAACATTATTGTTGGGTAAAATCAAAGCCTAATACGTAAAGCCACGCATCGATGTTCTATGTAGAATTCAAAAGAATTAAATGGAATCTAGAGTTGAAAGCATCTTCATGGGATTTGATATTTACCGATGTTCTATGTAGAATTCAAAAGAATTAAATGGAATCTAGAGTTGAAAGCATCTTCATGGGATTTGATATTCCAGTCTAGATAGATCATGATTTAGCATTGATTTCCTCAAGTTTCTTTTGTACTGTGTGTAAGAAGAAAAATACGTCTGTATGTGAACGGATGATGATTAAAAAAAATATATATATATATATATATATGAAACAAACAACTAACTATCTGATTCGGAGACCGTAACCCCTTTTTGCAAACCATAACAAGCCACTAGTTGATGATCGGTTACAAAGTTTTAATATTTCCAATTTAATTCCTCATCTTTTTTTTATATCCATGAGTATTGCCCAGGACAATTTATACGAGAAATTATTGTATAGATACTAGTTTACGTGCGCCTTGACAATTTGACTCCTCTCATCAAATTGTAAATTATTATACTGTATTTATACATTTCACCCAGGGTCAATTTATATCATTTATCTCTAGGAAATTGTATTGGGTAGCTAAACTTTTATACATATTTACAAAAATGTCAACCACTTTTGTATTTTGCAAATATGGCAAAATATTTGAATTTTTATTTTCGAAATTTTTATTATTCTAGTTTTACCCTTATGAAATTTGATATACACCCAATGTGTATCTGATATACGCCCGATATATTGATATACTTCTGATCTACGTCTGATGTATAATATACATAAGATGTACATATTATACATCTGATATACATCTAATGTAACTTTAATTTATGATATACTAAATATATTTGTAATGATATACCTATGTATATCTTATCTGATATATATCAAATGTATCTTTGATGTATATCAGTGACGTATTAAATATATTTGTAATTGATATCTGATATACATCAGTAAATATCAGTAGATTACAGATGCATCAATGTTAGATACCAGTAGATATCATTGTTATATCAATAGTAAATTGGATACATATTAAGTATATATCATAGATGCATCAAAGTTATATTAGTGGTAAATCATATAATGATATGAGAGAAATTATATTAGTAGATATCACAGTTATATCAGTGGTAAATTAAAGACATATCAAGTATATATCACAAATATATAAGTGTTATATCAGCATGATAAATCAATGGTAAATTATATAATCATATAAGAACCTATATTAGTAGAAATCATAGTTATATCATACGTATATCAGTTGCAAACCATATTAGAATTTATATTGGTAGATATTATAGATATATCAGAAGTAAATCAGTTTTATATCAGTGATATATCAAAGACACATCAATAATATATTACACATCTATTAATGGTAAATCAATAAATAGTAAATAATATAATCATATAAGAAATTATAGTAGTAGATATCATAGTTATATAAATGATATATCAATTGTATATCAGTAATAAATCAGATGTATATCAAATATATATCAGTGCTATATCAATGGTATACCAATGCTACGAGGATAAATTTGACATTTTATTATTGGGCCTCCATCTTTTCTAAAAATTTTGATATATTTACAAATCTAAAATATATATACTAAATTTGTTATTTCTTTAAATTTTTTTGCCATATTTATAATTGTCTCTTTTATCTCCCTCAAAACTTACGAATAATTAAATTACTTTTCTTAATTTAATTAAATAATTATTTATGTAGCCAGATATTTTTAGAAATTGTAACAAACATGACTCTAAATTTTCCTAAAACACAACGGTAAAAGTTTAGAATCAACGTTCAATTTCACGAAAGATAATTGGTATCTTACTCGACTAGGCTAGTATCGCATGAATAAAATAATGAATAATAAAAATGGCCAGCTGTAACCTTGTAAGTGGTAAGTAAAAGTGGTTTTGGAAAATAAAATGGCAGCCTCTTCCACTACCCAAAGCATCACTAGGATGACGTTATGCTGATTACGTCATCAACCATCCAATCACTTGTGTTTCTTCCCCACACCTTCCTCCTCCACATTACTTCTTCTCATTTTTCTTTTATTATTATTATTTATTTATATAAAATCGGGTTCTTTTAAAATCTCATCGCCATTTTTCCGAAAATCGATCTTCAAAAATGTCGGAGAAGATTCAGATTGAGAGTCAGAGAGAGGCGAATTTCGCGACGGCGCCGGATTATTCTCGACGTCAATTGCTGCCGGCGGAGGCGTGGAGGAGCCTCACGGCGGGGCTTGCTCGCGGCCGAGCATCGGCGGCTCGGCTTCAGATTCTGCTCCG